GTGACCTCTGGATGTCCGAAAGTCAAAATACTACAAATCACACAGGGCAATAAACGTTTATAGCCCTTCGGCTCCTAGATTATTATAATCATTTCATTTCTTACTCAATGTGATTGGAAACATTTCTGTCGGAACCAGGCCACTTGGGGTGCACGCTAAAGCTCTGTGATGCTAGTTTTAAAGTTGTTTGCAGAATGCCAGAGGAACAGGAGCTGTTTTCATTCTCTGTAACCTCATTCTTACACTTCCAAAAGCTTCTGGTTTGTTTTTTCACATATCATACCTGAAGGGATCAGACTGCTTGTACACCAGCAGCCATATCCCCCTGAAACTCCCTACCAGCCCCTACCAGCATGAAACATAAATGCAAATTCACTGTGGTAGGAGCAGTACGCAGGCTGATGCTGTGCTAATCAAATTCACAGCCCACTGAAGCTCAGCAGGTGTGAGCCTGGCCAGTACCTGGAGGGGAGACTCCTGGGAAAGCTAAGGTTGCCGCTAGAAGAGGTATTAGAGGGGCCAGCAGGGGGCGCTCATCCCACAGTCTGTGTGGGTCCTAATGCCCCAGTATAGTGACAGGGACACTATACTGCAAAAAGGCACCGTCCTTCGGATGAGACGTTAAACCGAGGTCCTGACTCTCTGTGGTCATTAAAAATCCCAGGGTGCTTCTCAAAAAGAGTAGGGGTGTAACCCCTGCCTTTACCAATCATGGCCTCTTAATAATCCCCATCTATGAAATCTTCATCACTCTGTTCTCCTCCCCACTGAGAGCTGCTGCGTGGTGGGTGGTGAGCCATGGCACACTCTGGCTGCCGTCACATCATCCAGGTGGGGCTGCACACTGGTGGTGGTGGAGGGGATCCCCATTACCTGTACAGCGCTTTGAGTGGAGTGTCCAGAAAAGGGCTATAGAAGTGTAAGCAATTATTAGTCCTTTCACTGGAAACCTACAGCTTCACCACGACAATGTAAGCCTGAATTCTTACAGCCGCTGCACATCAGTCCAGCTGTTGTTCACTCTTTAGGATCATCATTCAAGCTGGGGAACGGATGAAAAGCATAAAATGGGAAAAATATGCTGTGTTCAGTAAATATAAATGCAACATAACTTAATTAAGCTGATTGTATTTAAACGGAGAAATTAATTGGGACAGATGGTGGTTTAGGGTTTGGGTGACAGGGCTTGTGTGTGGATTGGAGTGTGTATTAGATACCAGCTTGGTACAAGCAGGCAATCAAATGAAAATGAACTTATTAATTAGTTCTCCTTCTCATTGGAAGAAGGAGGGCTGGTTTTTTTCCTTCGTTTCTTCCCACAGAGTGCAGATTACTCTATACCACCTCCCACAGCTGTCTTGCAGTCTCAAGTATTAATCAACACTAATCAGTGGCACTCCAATCACCTCCTAGAAAATGTATTTCATACATTTCCAAGGCTCACTCATGCTCACAAAATAAGGCATGATCTCTTAATCGCAGGCAGTAACAAGAGGAATTCAAGTTCTTCCCCAGTGTAATATACTGTATCTTCTGAGCAATTACATCCCGGTAATTTATCTTATATATATATACAGGCAAGACAAAAATACTATAGCCTAAATACGGAGCAAAGGTTTTAAATCTGAATTGGTTCAAGTGGGGAGCTGTGTCATTTCAGCTGTTGAGCCTTCTTTACAACAAAAGCCAGACAGCCCTTCGAGCTTGTTCGACGCTACCAGCTACTCGACCCAAAACATTATTAAAACCGACAGTTCAGTTCTTACTTTGTTAGTCAGAGTTGTCATTTAAAAGGCAGATCAATGAGAGGCTGGTGCAGTTCCCAGTAAAATAATGTATTATTGTCATTGTGTGTCGGCGGAGGGCAGTGGTGTCGGGTCTGTCCGTCAGAAAAGCACACTTGTAAGAAGCAGTGACCTTTTGGCACCTTCGACCTCTAACAAAATAAATAAGCAGAAGTGCAAATAAACTGCTTGTCATGGTTGCCAATGGAGTTAATCCTCCGGTTGCTGCCTTGTTATGAGGCAATTAAATAGAGTTCCTTCAGTTTTCTGTTTGCTTTGCTTTAATAAACAAGCAAAATCAGAAACTGTAGCATAAGCCTGTCCCTACCAGCACGAAACATAAATGCAAATTGGCTGCGGTAGAAGCCGTATGCATATCGACGCCGTGCTAATCAAATTAATTTAGAATTCATTCACTGCATTCTCCAGCCACATCAACCACTTAATCATGCGTGAAAACGAACAACTTTCACACACAAATACACTCCTACCAAGCACGTCTTCAGTTTTCCAGTTTTAGCTGCATAATTGTGTTTATGATCCATTACTGCTACGCATACAGATAGAGGAACGCCCTTCAACAGACGCGAGAAATGTTTTCGAAGATAAAACATTAGCGTGATTGAAGAGATGGAGTGCACCACCACACAATGCCTTTGTCTAAAACAAAAACTTTACAGGGCAGTGAATTTCCTTACAGTGTATTAACTTTCACTACCACTTTCTCCTCTCTCTCTCGCTGCCTTCTCAGTTTATAGAAGCATGGGAATCGAGCTGAAAGGTTAAGGGCCCTTTTAACCTTGTTTTCTTGAAGGGCCATCCCTGCGTAAATAACCCCAAGCAACAACATCGGACTAAAAATAAAATTGTTTTTGCACTCTTCTTCAGCTGTCATTTAGACTCAGACATTTTACATACATTTGCCTTGTGTACATTAAACACAAGCACTTGTCCCATTGAACATAACATTTTAAATAACACTAGTTACACTAAAACTAGTCCTTTGATTAAAGGAATGTGATCCTAATCAACAGGTATTCCTTTGACAAAATCAAGTCACTATATTAAACAACAGTATATTAAAACTCAAGTTACTTCACAATGACCTGATCCTAAGACCACAGAATTCCATGCCAGGAATGAGCCATTCCAGCCTAGCTCAACTACCTAATAGAAGCCTTAACTGAACCTACAAGCAGCCTGACTGAAATATTCCCCCCCCCAACTTGAAAGTTCATAATGCTAACAGGCTGAGCAAGTTCTGTCACTGGGTCTGATCTGGACCCCTTGGAGGTAGTGGCTGAGAGGAGAATGGTGTCCAAATGAATGGCCATCATGGACAATGGCTCCCGTCCCCTCTATGACACGCTTGTGAGAATGAAGAGCACGTTCAGCAATAGGCTGTTCCAACCACGGTGCGAGTCTTGCCTTCTGCCATGAGACTTTACAACTCACCCACTGTGCGCCTGGGCAGGACTGTTTTTGGACTAAACATGAATTCTCTGTTTACAGCTGGTTTTCCTGTTTACAACTGATTTTTGTGCAATATATTTATAATGTGCAATACATCGTTTTGTGTACTGTACATTTTTTTTTACTGCACTTCTCACTGACTGTACCTACTGTATCGCACTGTTGTATTATTGTATCATTTCGTTACACTGTGCTGTGTTGACTGTGCCAGCCTGCTGCTGCACTGCAATTTTCCTCACGGGATTAATAAAGGATCTAAATGATTATTTAACTTCTAAAATGATATAGTTAAAATGTAAGCACCAACGGCTCAAATCTGTCCTATTATTAAGCGAATTGAGACTTCAGTGGTGTAACAGCATTTGGCTGGAACAGAAACCAGCAGGTGTGTAGGTCCCCTGATTTAGCAGGAAGAGGATACAATGCTCCATATTAATGTGAGGTGAATCAATTCAGCATCCATTCACTCTCTGAACTAGTTTAACAAGATGCCCAGAATTGATCTGCGGCTGCAGCACCAGTCTTTCCCAGACTTTCCCAAACCCATCATCCCCCTGAAGACCTCTCTCCTCCAGCCTACAGCAAACTGAGCCTAACCAGACAGCTACTGTGAAGCCACAGAGCAAGTCCCAGAAAAAAAACCGATATGTTGATACCATCGTTGGCAAACCTGCGGTCTTCACATAGACAGTAACATGACTGTGTGCATGAGATCAACACCAGGAACACACACACAGCACTAGGGCATGGGTTGTGCATGACGCAGGGCCTGATGCAGATGCTCAGGCAGAAGATCACAGGTGCAGTCAGACATGCACCTTGCAGAAAAACCGCACGAGGTGTTGAGATTACCTTGAGATAGCTCAAGGTAAAAAAAAAATGCATTCACGGTACAGTGAACATGTTCTTTACACCTTTTGTGAGTGGGGCTTTCATGTCCCCAATTTGTCGATTGGTTCGCACAAGGTTTAAATGATCAATGCCCTGACTGAAAAGATTTTTGGAACCATTTTAACCTTGAGTGCGACACAGAAACTCCCTTTTAATTTTTAAAATCGTCATTCGTACGCCGCGGTTTCAACCTCCTCAAGGTAGCCCGCCCTGCCAAAACCTGACACACCTCGGGATACCTGAAATATCCAACTGGAAAAGGAGAAAGCGAGATGTTTCGTTTACGTTCACCCGTATTAACGCAGCGCAGCTCCGCCAGCAGACAAGTCGCCCATGAGGTTGAAGGCTACTGTGTGAAAAGAACTGGCAGACACCAGGCAGTTGTTAATCAGGGATAATTAGTCAAGGTTGAGCGGAGTTTCTGTTTTCGGGCCGGATTAACCCGTTGATCAATCAAACGCGCAAACCTCCACTGTTATACAAATACCGTTTGAAACTCCCATCAAACGTGTGCGCGTCTGTATGTTAGCCTCCGCTGCTAATCGCGTCTAATTATCATACTGTTTAATTCTCAGTTTCAAGCTACTACGCACTGTTGACGGAATATGAATTTAGTACAACGGTCTAATAAACACCTTTCACGCTCCGTGATGAAATACAAGTTTATTCCAGATAAAGTGTTTCATAAACACATCGGACCAACACTAAACTACGATATACCCTAACCTTGTTAGTGAATTTGCTTTGGGGATGGTACCACCGAGGAAATAAATCTGATACATGTTACAACATACAACGACTGCAAACCCCACCCAAAAATGAATTAGAAACGTTATTTAAAATCAAACTCACTTTCAAAACGCCTTTTCATCTTCCTTGCCTCCTGGCGAACTCGTCAACAACTTCATCAAAATCGGAGAACGCCGTAGTGCTGCTCTCAATCGCTTTTATGTAACGCAAAACGCATGCAGTTTTTCTTCCTTCTTTCTTGTTGGTCGAAGTTTCAACAAAGTTGCTCACAAGTTTCCACAGAGAAAAAGACACGTCTGCTGTCCTCGACGAGCGGGAGAGCTTGAGCTCATTCAATGGCAGGTGTTCACTACTGTCCCTCAGGCCGAGCTTGGACATGGTTGATGCTGGTCTCTGCATTTCGAAGGGCAGCACGTACCAACCACCAATATACAGACATTTAGACTGTATACGGAAAATTTGTCCAAGACACCTTGTGTTTTCCTTTGTAGCCAACAGCCACAACTAACTGAGCGGAACTTGGGCGGCCATCTTGGCGGCGCTCAGTAGCAGAAAACCGCTGCTCGGCGTGAATCCGTGGGGAAAACATTTAATATAATTGTCAAATTAAAAATGAGCGAATAGCATAACCGACAGAGCTCCGTTTTCAGCCCTAAGCACACTGCTAAGTTTGCGCTGCCCTGTTTGGCCGTTGCTGTCACCCAGCAAATCATTTAAAAATAAGATTTATTTTTTAAGTGCGCGATGGCCTGGTGACCCGTCCAAGATGTCCTTGCCCTGTTCTCGTTGCTTGCTGGGATAGGCTCCGGCTCCCCCCTGACTCGAAATTGGATGAAGCTGTAAGAGAAATGGATGGATGGGTGTATTTGCCTCAAATCATTATCCACGTTGACTTTACAAGAATTAGAAGGGGGGGTGAAGCAGCCTTCCATGGGATTAACAAAACCAAAGTAGTCAGTGGCACAAAGTTTCATCATAGGACAGAAAGAAGTTTAAAGGTGTGTTGCCAAGCAGTCATGTGACAGGAAGTCTTACCTGCAGCACTGAGACTTCCAGCAGACTGGCAGCTGCTGTGAGGCAGGAGCAGCCAGTGTGACCCAATCAGTGAGGTTTAAATCAGCACAGGATGTCTGTGAGAGATAACTCGGTCCTGGAATTTGTGGGATGGCAGGAGCAGTGGGCCAGGAGGCCGGAGTGACAAGGGAGGAAAATTCCTGATACCAGATAGATGTGCAGTTTGACTCAATTAATTGTGAGAAAGACTATTAATGTCTTTACATTCGATCTCTAGGAAGAGACTGAACAAGTGACAAGGACATCATATGTGGATCTAGGGACAGTATATCAGGGTTGAGCTGCTCATGTTTTGCTGAGGGGATTCCAGAAAATGAAACTCTGCACCTCCAAAAGGCATTTAGGAGAATTCATCTTTTTTTTGCCTCTGCAGTCAAAAACCTTTATTTACACTGTGGAGTCCACATAGAACAAGAATGTGCTCTTTCCTCCAGGGGGTCAATGGATTGACTAGTTCTGGGTAGGTGGACAGGTCAGAGGTCATCTAGCTGCCCTCAGTGTCTTTTAATGCCTTCTGGATCATAAGAGCGTGATGACGGTTCAATCTGATCATGCGTTAGTGGGAGATACGTTTTTTTTTTTGCACAGAGAGAACATAGGCAATTTGGCAGTGTGATCTTTATGATGATCCTGGTAGTTTATAATTGCTAGATTGTCATGGAGATGGTGAATCAGCATCGAGAACAACAGGACCATACTCCCACTGTAGACGAGCTCCAAGAAGGTCTGCTGCCTTCTGCCAATAATCCACCTCCACAACACCGCATTAGGTCATGAAAATGTAAGAAACAATTTTTGTTGCTAGTAACTTATTGATTTGAGGATCTTGTTCAGATGCATCTTGAAGGATTCGGGAGAATTAGCCTCAGCAACATGGTTGGACACGTTGTGCTGGATACCTAAAGCCCTTTGAGTAAAGTTATGGCTCCTGTTGTTAATCCTCAATGCTATTGTGCTTTCCTCTCTTTCTCACGCCCAAGGAAGGCTCCTCAGCCGAAATGTGTTTCTTTTCCACTCTTCTCAGCGTGGAATAAACCTTTACTTGCTCCTTTGCAGCCTGTGCAATGCGACTCACCTCCCTCCTTGAACTGCTATTTCCTCTCTCAGCTTCCTTTCTGCCAGGTGGAGAAAGTTACTTTGCCTTAACCTGAATTCCGGAACGGAACAGTTTTATTGAAGTCCCCGGGGATGCAAGGGACAAATGTGTTAGAAACAATCCTTGCCATGCAAGAGGAGAGGCCTCCCCCTGGAGACTGTGATTCCCAGACCTTGGCAAAGTACTGCTGCAGACCTAGAAGAACAGAATAACACTGCTAGAGTAGCACTCTTGTCTTTTGTATGTTGTTCAGGCTATACATTTCACTAATAGAAACTGGATGTCTACCTGGAAAAAAAAAAACAAAACGGAACAAGACAGCAAGGTCTTCTTGTTGTCGGGGCTAGGAAAAACAAACAGACTGATTGGTACAGGGCATAGGGTGATTTCCACATCTACATGCAAAGCTCAGAAGAGATCTGATCACCATATTCTACAAGCTGCAATGCATTAAGACTACATAGGTTATTTGTCTTTCTTGCAAAACAAATACAGATAGAAGCAAAAAACCTTGTCTTTCTTTAACCACCTTTACAAAAACAAAAGTATTAAGTTTAAAACCTTGGTAAATATGTTGGAAGGAAGTAGGCTTTGGGCACACACATTCATTAACAGCCGGTGTAATCTTTTACTCACTTGGTGCTGTGTTTCGCTTCTCATTTACCACTGCCCAGCACACAGTTCTGATACACTTAAGACAAGGAGAGCAGATCTTAACTGAAGGAGCGAGTCTCGGAATGAAAGTAGATGGAGGGGAAAAGCAGAAGCCGACACCATTATTGTCTGTCAAAGTGGGTGAGGAAGGAGATTTCCAGGCTCCAGAGCCAAAAGGAACAGATCTAAAATAGGATCTGAGTGAGGTAGTGGAGGCTCTCAAGCTGATACACTTCCCCTGGCTTCTGCAGCAAAACAAAAACTACCCCTCTCCTGCCATAAATCATACATCTCACAGATCTCTGTGACAAAAACCAACACGAAACCACCCTCCGGTCTGTAAAAAAAGCATGGCTCTCATCTCTAGGTTTGTGTCTGAGGCAGGGGAGGGGTGTCAACTCCTGAATAAAACTGCATGCCACCAACTTGTCATGCACAGAATGGAACGCTGCACATCTTGCAAATGCAAAGAATTAAAAAAAATTATAATTTAGCAAGCAGTTGGTCTGTTAAGGAGCAAACTGAAAGATGCTTTATTTCTGTCCTCAGTCAAAATACACACGTACAAAAAAAGTTTAACTTTGTCTGACAAACAGGGTCTTTTCCTTGACATTTACAGATGGTGTGTTGGCTGAGTTCTGCACAAAACCTTCAGCTCATATATAAAGAAATAATGGGCATGCCAGAAACTGAATTCACAGCGCAGGATGACTGTGGTGTGGAGCATTTTTTAGTCACGAAAGACTGGAGGAGGGGCAGGAACAAGTAGCTGTCTTTAAGCGCGTGGTGACTCTTGGACACAGAAATCAATAACGATATATGACAGACCGAGAGCATGGTAGATGCAGAGGACGGAAATGAATTAAAAAAGCAACAACAAATAACCAATACAAACTGAAAAGGAAACATACTGATCCACATGATTGATAGATCTGTGGTGTGCTTTTCTTTCTTCCAGGCACCGAAGTACATTAAGTATTAATAAACATTATTAAAGCTAATCTGAGTGTCAATTGCTTGCATTTCATATTTTTAAATATGCATGAACTTGAACTCCCTCTGTAGAAGTGTACTCTGGAGAAGCCAAGTAGATTTTTTTGTTGTTGTTGAGAAATTGGCAAAAAGGAGAATTTTCTCATTCAGTTTGAATGTCAAATTAGGAATGTTTTGTCAAAATAAAGCAGCTGGGATAATTACCTGGTTGCTCGTTTGTTTTATATTTCTAAGACGCTGCCATGAAGTCAGCGCCTCCGCAGTACATATTTTACTTAATGGACAACAGCTGGGAAAGAAGGGGCTCTGTCACCACAACATCATCAACATTCACAAGTGCACAGTGCAGTTGATCCTCAGACACGAGCAGAAGGTTTGGTGACCAAAGTTTTCTCTCTGCGGGTTTGCTGGAAACCCAGAAAAAATGGTTGGATTTCTCTTTTTTTCATCCGGAAGACATCGTCTATTTATTTATCTCTTCATGACTGATGAACATACTGGACTTTCTCCTTAAAAAGGATTGAAGTTGACTCCTGCTCGATCGCAGTGCTTGAAAGCCAGTAGCTGAACTACAAGGGTCTTATATGGGTTTCTGAAAGGCAGCTTTTAAGACATCTGCTGATAGTGTCAACCTTTCTGTGGTTTCTGTAGGTGTTCATCTCTTTCTGATACATTTCAGAACAAGTCATGTCTTTCCTTCCATTTCATATCTTAACTCATTTCAGATTCTTTGGTTCAAGGTGTGTCTCGAGCTGTTCTCTTCTTTAAGACCTTGTTTGCCATTCAGACTAAGAACTGTAGAAGAATTTCTGATCTCCAAAGAGCAACCACAAAGCAGGATCCGAGGAAACGCTGTGCAAATGATAAGGTTTCGCAGGCCTGATGTCACAGTTTGTTACTGAAGGGCACCAGCCCTATTACTGAAGAAATGCTTCCTTGCATTCAGCTCTGAGCTGTCTTGACACAATCCATTTGTCTGCGTTGAATATTTGGGAAGAGTGATAAAAGCAAAACAAAAAACACACAACAATAAACACATACATTTTCTAACTGCTTCATTCAGTTTTGCAGGGCTCAAGGGATGCTTTGAATCTACAGTATCTCAGGAAGCACCAAGGACGAGGTAGGGTACACTCTGGACAGGAAGCCAGTCCGTCACAGGGCAGGTACACCCACTCACACCAGCGCCGGTCTTCCCAGAAACCAATGAGTCTATCAGTAGGTCTTTGGATCATAGCACCAGGAGTAAACCCACATGAACGTGGGGAGAACATAGAATATCCACACCGTAGGTCGGGAATTGAACACAAGGCCCCAGCACTGCAAGGCAGCAATACTAATCTTCTGAGCCACCATGCCACCCACAACAATGAATCATTCAGTCAAAATTCAATGACAACAGTTCCCCTGAGTATTACAAATCTGCTGAACAAATTTGTTCTTCTGTAACTTTTGTGTCAATAAGAGAATGTCAGCAAACATTCTCCTCTTTTGGTTGCTTAACTTTGACACTTTTGTAGTATGCCACTATAGGTCATTTTCTGAAGGTATGACCAATAATAATTACAACGACACAGGCATCTTCTTTAAAAGCACAAGTTAAAGTAGAACTGCAATGCTACTTTTATATTTTGGGATTAGATCTGGGGTCAGCATTGATGAGTGCAT